AGTAAACTTGGTGCAAATTTGGTATATTACTTCCATATTTAATTAGCTATATTAAAGAAAAACCTTTTGTTTTTAGCTATGTTAGATTTTACATTTCCAATTGACTCAAGTTGAGCTCTAGTTCCATTCCTTTGTCTTCTTTGGTTTTTCTCTACATTTTTAGTTAGCTTTCTACGCTACTTATTCTTCTAACCTCAAATTAAATGTAGTATTTAGCTTGATAATGGTTGATTCTGTGGTAATATTAATAAAAGGTTCCATCTTTTCTAATGTCCATTTTGTTTCTTTCTCTTTTGCTTAACATAGGATGCTTTTCTTTTATTTGGTTCACATTTGTAATTCTTATGATTGGGTTATTCTCTGATTTTGTTAAAAATAGTCAAATATGAAAAACTGATTTCTTTTCCAATTCTATTATTATTTTTATTGTGATGGTTAACTAGTTGCTTGAGATTAGGGTTTGAATTGGCCTTGAGTTTCTGTTTGGTATAAGTTTCTTTAGGTGAAAGTTTCATTTTTTACATGTGGAAAAAGGAGCTTATTTGGTTTAGATTTTATAATCATCTGTGTAGGATGAATAAGACTCAGTTTTAGTTATGGTGGATCAGCTTCTGGTGTGGCTACATGCCCAGTGATTTGTGTTGGTTATTGGTTGTACTGTTTGGTTATAAAGGTTTGGGTTGAACTTAAAGATCTGTGCTATTTGTTTTGTGGGTCCAAAGAGGACTCTTCACTGTTATGATATTCTGCCATTATTATTATCAGTCTTTTTTAATCTCATTTTATTTTTGTGGTTTCTAATTTTAGTCCAAGTTCCTTATTGAGGAAAGCCGTAAGGAGCAAATCAAGAGTTGGATTATGACCGATGTAAATGAAAAATGGAAAAGTTATAAAAATGAGCTAAAAAGTGCAAGATTTGATTTGTTGCTAATAGTAGATGAAAGGTATGAAAAAATTAATGAACCTCGAGTTGATAAGGAGCAATTTCATGTGCTTGTTGAATATTGGTGTAGTGAGAAGGGAGAGCTATGACAATTTTGCTATGTTGTTGACATTTTTCCTAATTTTCTGTTATCACAAATAATTGCTACTTTTCATTTTCTTCCAGAAAATTAGCAAACAGAATAAAGAAAACAGGCAAAAACTTGAAGAGCCCCATTGCCTAGGCACTAGGACTTTTGCACGATTTGTCAATGAGAAGGTGATTTTTTCTGTTCAAGCTACTTTATTAAAAAAGCAATTTACATGCTTTACTGTCAAAGTCAATGTGGTATTTAATTATTTACTGCTTGTTTATTTTCCAGGAAAGCTTTGTTGAAGGAAGAAAGCCATCAAGGGCTGAACTCTACATTCAAAGTTGAATAAAAAAGGATGGGGGACCTATAAGTGAAAAGGCAAGCCAAGTGATGGTTAGTAAACACATAAATTCTATGTTTTTAATGATGTATACCTTTCTTCATCTTATATATATATAAGTC